GACTCAGGATCAATTCATTCTTCGCAACAAACACAACTTCGCTGCTGTCAACAGTTGGCAGAAATCATTTCTGGAAAATGTGTCTTCTCTAACTTCCATCAAACCATTCTCATTCTCTTTTGTTTTGTTTGATTTTTTTTTTTTAGTTCTTGTTTTTGCTCTTTTTTTTTTTTTTCCCTTTCCCAAGCCACAAGACTCGGGATCAATTCGTTCTTCGCAACAAACACAGCTGGGCCATGGACTTGGCATGGTGCGAAAGTGAGCGACATCTGAGGTCCATAACTCTCTCACATGAGCTTGTTCCCACTACAAGCCACGGCACGGCATTCACTTCGCCCATGAGAATCAGTGAAATCGGAAAACATTGTCAATCATTGGATGCGGCGCAGCATCTCTCTCTAGAAAGCAAAATCAAACCATTCCCATTCTAATTCTGGAAAGAAAAGAAAATCCCCATTCCAATTCTGGAAAGAAAAAGAACATTCCCATTCTAATTCTGGAAAGAAAAGAACATTCCCATTCTAATTCTGGAAAACTATCCGAAAATAATAAAAATATCATTTTTATCTGAGTACGGATCTGGGCCGCCCGGCCGACCGGTGCCTGCCCGGGGGAGGTCCCGGGCGGTCCGGTTGGGGGCTGGGCCCCCCCAGCACACCTTGTTGGCGGGTGGTTCCGACCCCGAATCGGCGAGATTTCACCTCCCCAGGGCCTACCGGGTCCGACCACGCCGAGAAAACGGCGCGTCGGGGCCGTGAGGCCTGTTTTTTTTTTTTGAATTTGGGACGGCCCTCTGGCCGTCGATCATCCATGATCGATGGCCAGAGGGCCGTTCGTTTTTGGAGGGAAAACGGAGGCCCCGTTTGAACAAGCGACTGGCTGGGGCGGCCTGCATTGGCTGTCCAAACGGGGCCTCGATACCTGCTCCAGCCGCCTGCGTTCGTCGTCGAGTCGCCCATCGTCGAAGTAGCTGCCCCTCGTCGCCATCGCCTGGGAGCTTCACTCGCCCATCGCCAGCGTCGTCGATCGCGGTGCTCCTGCCTGCCGACAACCCCTGCCACCCGTCGACGTGGAGTGCCGTTCTGTTCTTCTTCTTCTTCTTCTTCCCTCCTCCTCCTCCTCCGCTCATTCTTCTGCTTCTTCTTGTCTCCTCCTCCTCCTCCCCCTCTCATCTTCGTCTTCTTCTTCTTCTTCTTCTTCTTCTTCTTCTTCTTCTTCCTCTTATACCTCTTCTGCTTTTCTTCTTCCACGACTTCTTCACTCCTCCTCCTCCTCCCCCTCTCATCTTCTTCTTCTTCTTCTTCATCTCTCGTCGTCGTCCTCCCCCTCATCAGCTTCTTCTTATTCTTCTCTCCTCCTCCTCCTCTTCCGACTACCTTCTTTTTCTTCTTTTTTTTTACATTCGTTAGCGATAGGTCGCCAGATAAACGTCAGGTAAGGGAAAAAAAAAAAAAAACTGCTCCGCTCGTCATCTTCTTCTTCTTCTTCTTCTTCTTCTTCGCCGATCATTCTTCCGCCTCTTGTCTCCTCCTCCTCCTCTCCCTCTCATCATCTTCTTCTTCTTCTTCTTCTTCTTCTTTTTCTTCTTCTTGTAGGACCGCCGCCACAGCCCGCCGCCATACCTCGCCACCACACCATACCACACTGCCGGTGCCGCCATCTTGTCCATCGTTTGGTAGGTCGCGTGAGACGCAGCAGGTTAAAAAAAAAAAAAAAAAAAAAAAAAA